AAATAAAAAATTTAGAACAGGAGCTCTGGGTTCCGGAACCCAAAGCTGGGTTCCCGAACCCAGAGGGTTCGAGCTGGGTTCCTCCTGAGGAACCCGATTTGGGTTCCTCGCTGAACCCAGAGTTGGGTTCCTTGTGAGGAACCCGGATCGGGTTCCTCACGACGAGGAACCCAAAGTCGAGTTCCTCATGGGTTCCTCCGGAGGAACCCAACTCGAACCTGATTTGGGGACGAGGAACCCAGATCGGGTTCCTCATAGGGAACCCAGCTCTGGGTTCCGGAAATTTTTTTTTTTTTGGTGGGGGACGTGGGGACAAGGGAAACCGTGTAGTAGGTCCCACTGCACATGTGGTGTCCGATGAGGAACCCGATCTGGGTTTCTCATAAGGAACCTAGCTCTGGGTTCCGAAATTTTTTTTTTTTTTTTTGGTGGGGGACGTGGGGACAAGGGAAACCATGCAGTGGGTCCCATTGCACATGTGGTGTCCGCTGTGCCAAAAAAAAGCCACGTCATAAAAAAACAAGTCCACGTCTGAAACTAACGAATAAAGAAACGTCGCATGTGCCATGTCAATTTCTGAGTACCACGTAGTGCATTTTTTAACGGTGCCGTGATGGTCCGTTAAAATATTGAGTTTTTCACAGATTTTGAAAAATAGAAGGTGTGAATAGGGAGAAAAAATTCTGGAAGATGTTGACCGTGGAAAAGAAATAAATGGAAGGTGCAAATAGGGGATTTGGCCAACTATTTAAATGACAACTCAGATAAGTCTTGCCTTGATGTTGGCATCGAGGGAGCTGTACCTCCACTTTGTAACAGAAGCAATACAAAAGGATGAGAAATATGGTTACACGAAAAGAATACAATTAACCGAACTTTCTATTACTGCTTGAGTGCTTAAAATGAATACCAGGCTAAGATAACATACAAAGAAGATCGTAAAAAAAGTCCTGAGAATGGAAAACTAACACTTCTAAGGATTAGTGCACAACTTCATGTTTGTCTCCTTATTCTTATGTCGCTTTTTCAAAAACCCTTTACCCTCACCCTCGCCCAATGGCTGTCCTTGGGGCAGGAATGTAACTGGAAAGAGCTGTAGGTCCAGACTCCAGGACCATGGTTCAGCTGGTATTGGATTAATTTGAGTTCTTGGTGGGGACTGGGGAAAGCTGCATTCCTTAACTTGGATCTAGAATCGCTCTTTGGGCACAGTATCAGTTACTACAATGGATACAAATCTCTTTATCATTACTGACAAACATGCCTGCTCTGCTTCCATAGATCGAGTATCTTGATAGCCATGTCTTCATTCACAGGAGCATAGAGTCTTGACTTTGATTTGATATTCTCAGCGAGAAATGTACCATAGCAGGAATCGATCACGCATATCATGGTTAAATAAACTAGTTAAAAAGAACGAGCTGGCATCTAAACTTGGCAAATATGTAGCTTAAAATAAATGACATGCATAAAGAAAGAAAATACAATTTACCTAGAAGAGTGAGGGTATGGCCGCAAGTGCTCCTAATTGTTCAGCCTCTTTCTCCTGTGCTTTTACTTTTTTGGTTGAGAAGTAGTATTAATAAGTTGGCTTCTCCAGATTCATCTCCACTACAAATTCATTCAAGATAGACTTGCAAAGAATCTCATCCTGTACAATTAACATTGTATAATAATATGTATCAGCACAAAATTTGGCTTCATATTGCATAAAATCGAAGATTTTCACTGAAAAAGTTCTCAAACATATAAGACACACTTCATTGATGATGGGACAACCTTAGTTCATCCTTTATCTTCTTTACAATGCACTCTCCAAGGCAATTCTAGCTACATCTTGTTCTGTTGCCATTGAGGGACAATCACATGCTCCGAAGTTCAGAACTGAAAAACCCAACATGGTTAACCTGTACTTTGGAACAGTGATTCTCCCTTATTAGCAATAGAACAGTTATTCTCCCTTATTAGAAGTAGACATGATCTTTGAGTATACTCCTGGAATGTTCTTACACATCAAGAAGTAATCAAAATGCCAAAACAAATGAATACCCAGAAAGAAAAAATCGAAATCTAGTAAATCAAATGAAGTCAGAGGCAAAAACAGCATCTACCCTGAGAAATTGCCTACATTGATAAAGGCCACACAGCATTTGGGAGTACATTGGTAGGATTCAAGGGAAAGAAATGGATGAGGCTACTCAGCCTTTTTGGAGTTCTTTTACAGGGTTTGTCCTAGTATTGTATCTGAACCCAAATTCAATATCTGACCAAATCAAAGAAATTATTTATGGAAAAAGATGGCTTCAGATTACTTCAGGTTAACTTGTATCAGAAAACTGAAGAAAGAAAGAAAGCAAATAAAAGCAGAGGCTACCTTTGCACTTGCAGGGTAAGTGGTAACCCAGAAAAGCAGTTGGTGGTTTTAAAGAAAACATTGCAAGAAAAAAAAAAAAAAAAACTGGTGGGAAGAAGAACAGGGATTACCACCAAAATGAATTGAACCCGGCATTGGAAAGAAGAACACCCATCAAGGAAAGCAAATGAATTTGGGTGTCGCAACTCAGTATCAGACGCAGGGGAAAGCAAGTGATGGCTGCAATTCCGACACAGCCAATTCCGAAGCAAAGCAGAGAAAAAGGATTCCTTTCTTCTGTTTAATGCAGGCATAGGCATTTAGGTGTCTTGCCAGGAACTGACTTTCACTGGAGTAGGAAGTTTCGGATGGAAGTTTGAGATTCGAATTTCAATCTCAGATTTCATTCAGATTCTCTTCTTTATTTCCTTTATATGCTTCCATTGTGAAGTGCAGTGCTTTCTGCTTTCACCAGACACTATTCATTGTTGAGGTCAGCGTTCCGGTTTTGTACCAACATTGAAATGTATTCAAGAGTGAAATACAATAGAAAAACGAAAGAAATGAAAGTAGAGGCTTCCTAGAGTTTGTTTTGTATAAACGTTTTTGTAATCTGGACTGCATCTTAAAATAAGAATATTAAGAAGCCACTCTATGATTTTATCTAATACATCGCACCACACTTTTTTGTTTGTACAATACCAAGGAACTGAAGTTTTATTACTACATACATGTACTTTGTTTCGAAATATTAGATGTTAACCATTCATAAGAATTTGATGAAATTGGTACTTATTAAGTTAAAATTTTTGATTTAGAATTAAGTTCAAAAGTTTAAATATTTATGATACTAAACATTTAAATCTTCAATATACAAAAAATAAAAGGGAAAAAATTAGATGTTTACTGCTTTGGATCACAAGAGTTGGAACCATAATTTTGATCCTTAATTAAGTGTTTTTTAGTTACAGTCAATTTTTTATTTTTTGATAGTATCTATAAATTATATTCTATCTTAATGAATTTTGGTGTCAAGCTGCATTCATTCTTAAAACTTAAACTTGAGATTCAAACTTAAAACTTTATTTTAAGAGAATTAAACTCATTCTACTTAAACCAATAAATCATTAGTTAATAAAGTTAGTAAGTGTCAATTTATTAGTTTTGAGTACATCTAACAATCTTATTCCATCTCTTCTTTATTACTGAAATAATTCAATATTGAAAACATTAAATCATCTAATAAGTAGTTGGCCTAAATGAAATTTAATTGTGCTAATGAAAATATGAAATCTAAAGTTTAAACAATACCCATTCACCAGTCCTCAGCTTTGTCACATTTTCACATGGACAAGTTAAGTAATCCACCTGATCCCCAAGTAGTCCGGTGGCGTCGGATATTCACATGGGCAAAGCTTCATAACGCCCAGTATTAAATTGGTTGATTCAAACTCATGAGGTAAGAACCCATCCTCTGCAGACTACTACAACACACGCTTAATTTAGGTGCATGTTTACAATAAATTGAGGTGGAAGAAGCGTGACTCTCCCACTCCCATAGAAGCAAAATGGGATTCATTACTCATTTTTCATCCGTCTCTCAGGGAGGGTGTCTTTTTGTCTTGAAGCTATATATAGACTGTAAGAGAGAGAGAAATAACAGTACCCAGTTGGTTCAGGGTGGCAAAGGATCATGACAAGGCTGCTGCCCAACACACGATATGTGGATGTTATTGTGACTGGAATCATGTCTTAGCACCTCCAGACCCTTTGTTACCCAGCAACCACCTCAAGGAGAAACCTGGCTGGCAGAGCGATGAAACGATGGAGTCTCAAGTAGTGGTATGCTATCCTTTCTTGAGGAACTTAGACAAATTCCTCATTAAACAGTGGAAGTGGAACCACTGCATCGGTTTAGACAAGCCATTAAAATAACTGGTCTCAGGCACATACTAATACCATCCTTCGTTGTGAACATCATACATAAAAAAAACCAGAAGAAGAAAGATCATACTGTAAACACAGATTGCAGCCTTACAAACTCAAATTTCATCACCCCAAAATTTTTGCATATAAAAGAGAGGGGGAAGGGGGCGGGGGTGGGTGGAAAGCCTGCTTTTTTCTGCTAAACAGCTTTTGCAGAATTTAAAACAATCATAGTCTCACTCACATCATCTGAAGTTAAATAGTTATGCTACCTTTCTTAAGTTACCACAGTGAAATGTTCACGAAATCAATTACCATTGCGAAGGAAATAGAATAAATATACATGAGGAGAATGTGAGGAAGTACAAGACCCCTTACAGCAAGGAAAAGCTAGTGTGGATGCAACACCTTGTTAATTTTTCCAAATTATTTACTTCATTTGATCGGGTGGTACTGATCAGAAACCCGTCTGGGAGGCAGTTTTCGCAGGATGAAGAGCACCAGGGCAGACGGAATAATTTCTGCCAACTGTTAATCAAAAACCAAAATGATTAAACAAGTGATATTAGAATGAATAGCTCTAAGGTAAAAATAGAATCTAGTGTTAATTAACAGCCAACCACATAAGTGGTCTACATGTCCCCCTCAGAATAGGATTTTTTTTTTTTTTGGGTTGGCAAAACAGGTTTGGTTTTGATGGAATCTTGGTAACTTCTGTTGAAAGTTCTTTTGGAAAATCAATTAATGCAAACAGGTGCTCATGCATCTTTGCACTCTCTGATTGTGTGTTTCAATCCAGATATTCTTGGGAATTATTATGTTGCATCCTAGTGTGCTCATGCATCTTTTAAACCTTT